CGCACGCACACCCCTCCCCCCCTCCCGGTACCGGCGGCGCGCGCGCCCGGCCGTTGGGGTGAGGCGCCGAGGCTGTCCGTTTTAAGGGTGAATAAAGCCCCGCCGGGCGTGAGGGGACGGGGTGGGAGAGCAAAATCCCGGGTCCTGAGGGGATGGTGCGGAGGAGCCGTGGCGGACCCTGTGAGCCGGGGTGTCTCCTTGAGTGCGGCCGGCTGAGAAAAGCTGTTCGGGATGTTACTGCGGGTCGCGTCTACAGAGCAAAGCCCGAAATCCTGAATAAAACCCAGCAAAACCCCCTGAAGAAGGCTTTGTAACGGACCTTTGGCTTCCCGAGGCTTTTAAATCTTGGAAAGGTAACCAGAAGCATAAATACAGTGGTTTTAAAAGGGGGTTAGCTTCTCCCCTACCTCCATTTCTGCTCTTTGGCTGCTCCGTGTATATTACATTTCTTGATGATCCCCATGGTTGTGGTCATCGCTGTACAAAAAAATATCACCAGCCTTTTTTAATCGTATAATTGCATTTCCACTTTCACGTTCTCACTCCATTTGGGGGGGGAACCCTACAAACAAACACTTTATTACTGACCCGAGTAGTCAATAACACAGGTGCCAGGAAGAGAAACCGCCACGACCTATTTCAGATGTTATTTTATATGTACCAAGCACAAACACACATGCAGCTTCTGCTTATTTTTACTCAATGGAAACCTAGTTTGTGGCAGTTCAGAAAGACAGGCCCGGAAGGGAAGGAAGGAGAAGGCTGTCCTGGAGGGTCAGCCCCTACTGCAGTGAGCACCATACTTAACGCCATACATTTCTCAACCTTTGGGTTAAGCATGCGGACCTGGACAGCACAGCACTCCATACAGGAACAACAGCAACGGTAGAGGCTGAAAAACCACCAGAAAGCGTGCCTCAATGTGAACCAATAAAAAGCAATATTAACGGCAGAAAACAGAAGCTAGTGAAAGCCCTCACATTCACAGTAATTTAAGGCTTTTTCAGACTATTTCAAGCCAGTTCTGGTCACAGCCCGACTTTTCAATCGGTAGTGCTGCTCCAAGGTCTGTCCTGAGCCAGGCCAACACCCAGTGCTGCAAGAATCGACTGATTTAGAAAGTTAATTCCCAATTTTAATACCTACCTATTTCCTCACAGCCTGTGTGTAACAGAGCTCAGCTGACAACAAGGATCAGGGACTATTTCCATAAAAGATGTTATCCGAGCAGATGAGCTTTTCATTCAGTTTGGTTTTCTTTCTTTCTTTCTCCCCCCACCCCAAACATACCCAAACAGACTAAGCTTCTGTGCAGTTACAAATACATATTGGTTTTCTTTGGGGATGTGATCAGCAATTAAATCTGTTTCACCTCTTGTTTGTCAAGGAAGCTGTGGAGAGTGAGGACACTTGTGTTTGAGTTTCCATATTGAACTTTCAGACTGGATTTAGGAAGTCTCTTTGCACGTGTGCTTGTATTGCTTGTCCTGGAGGTCACATTATACAAGCGCTGCAGTACAGTTCTCAAAAGTAAGATCTTGGTACGCTTGCAGGCTTTTGCCTTGGGAATTCATGCATTTTGAGGGATTCACCACATCAGGGCTTCGTTGTTGCCAGTCAGAGGCATTCCAGGCTGTCTAGGCTTTATCCTAGCAGTCGAGCTCGGCTAGCTTTTCTGAGGGGCAAGTAGATGTTTCATACATCTTGTCCTGGCTCGCACACTAACACTGTCCCAAAGGCAGTAAAAATACAAAATATTTATTGGAATTTAAAATGAGTTGTGGGCTGTTTCCTGTTTATGAGCTGTGGGCTCCCCATCCCACGCTTCCTGATAACCAAACTCCTAGCAACCTCCGTCTACAGTGTGGTCAGTGAAGAGGACTCTGTTATTCCAGACATGGAGAAGAGCTGCATACATTTTGTCCATAAAAATGGCTGGTGTTGCAGAAGACATCTGTAGTGAAGGAGGAGAATGTATCCCGCATTTAAAATATTTACCCAGGAGACCATACTGATTTCTTTTGTACCGAAAGTGCTTTTTAAGTGTAGATTACTAACTGGATTGCGTAAATTTGTATCGCAGTTCAAATCTTAATAACATACTAAATATCATAAACATCCATTAGCTATTTAAATGTGCAAGCTTTTAGAATCAGAAATTAGATTATTTACTAGGCTTTTAGCTGGAATAAGCTTTAATTAGTGTTATATTCTATTAATATGCAATAACCATATTACTATTGCCTAACAGCTCTACGGTTGTGAAACAAGCAGCCA